CCAAGAAAATGCCACAAAATTCACAAAAATTATAAAATACTAAAGAAATTGTTTTGTTTGAGATTTTTGGGAATTATTGCTTAGGGCAAAAATCACGTGCTCACATGCGGCATCGCACCTGCGGTCCCCAATCCGCAGGTACGGAAATACCAGAACAGAAAAATCTGCAGCTTCTCAAAAAAAATATGAAATTGATCCGTTTAACTATCCGAAACTCACCCGAGGTCCTCGGGACCTCAACCAAACATGCCAACATATCCCATAACATCATTCAAACTTGTTCCGACCTTCAGAACACTCAAAATAACATCAAAATACCAAATTCACTTCGGATTCAGGCCTAAGAATTTCAAGAACTTCCAAATTACGCTTTTGATAAAAAAACCAACCAAACTGCGCCCGAATGACCTGAAATTTTGCACACACGTCACAAATGACATAACGGAGCTACTGGAACTTTTGGAATTCTATTCGGACCCCTATATCAAAATCTCACCTATCAACCGGAAAACGCCAAAATCTCAATTTCGCCAATTCAAGCCTAAATCTACTCCGGGCCTCCAAAACGCATTCCGATCATGCTCCTAAGTCCCAAATCACCTAACGGAGCTAACCAAATTGTAAAATTTCCGATCCGAGATCGTATACTAACAAGTCAAATCTTGGTCAAACCTTTCAAATATCAAGCTTTAAACTGAGAACTGTTCTTCCAAATTCATTCTGATTACCCTGAAAACCAAAACCAACAATTTACATAAGTCTTAATACATCATACGGGACAAGTCATGCCCGGGAACTTACGAGCCGGGTGCAAAAGCTCGAAACGACCGATCGGGTCGTTACAGAACTATTAAAAAACTACTTTTTTATGTTGCTTACTTGAATTTTTGCCATCTTATGCATTTCAACTGTGTGCTTAATGCGGCCTGGTGTTCTGCAATTGATTTTGTTGGAGAAGCAAAACGATCGTCAGGATGTGAAAGCTCAAATCTTTCTCCACTAATTGTGAGGCTCCCTTTGTGTGTGCCCTCCGTTGGTAAATTTTAAATGTGTTGGTGAACTGACTAGACCAAATAAAGCTTCACTTCTGAAGTGGTTAATTCTCTCACCTCAACGTTGTATGAAGTTGTAATGTTCCTGCTTTGTTTAACGAGACCACAACTGGTTGACATATGCTTTTGTTGCTCCAATTTTTGTGTCTCAGTGGTCACATTGTGATTCCTTTTTCTGTCTTCTTCATTTCTTTGGAGTTCCACTACAAGTTTTGCTAATTTACAAAATATTGTTTCCATGTATTGAGATGTTTTGCGATTAATGTGTTGTGAGTTTTTTAAGCATTTGTATATTGTATTCTATGTAACCTTCTAATTTATAACATATTTATTTGTTTGCTGATATTTTTGGTCAAGAACTAGTAGAAACAGGACCAAAAAGAAGATCAAAGACCGCGTATGTAAATAGTTGTATCATACTTGTTGTAACTGCTGTGGCACTTTAAGCATCCCTTAATGTGATGCTCTCGTGAACGCAAACAATGTATATTTTGTTGGGTTTTTAAGGTATTTAATTAATATATTAAATACTTAAAAGAGGGTGAATGGGAAATGGAGGGAAATGAAATTTTTGAGTGAAATTTTAAGTTCCCCCTCCCTTGGCAAATGGGCATTGTCCCATATTGGAAGAGGAAGAGGTTTTTTATGGGTATATAAGCAATTGCTCTTCTTCTAGCTCTTAAAGAGTTGAGAAGAAGGCAAGCCTCGCGCCGTCGTCGTCGCTCGCTCGGCTCGGCTTCGGCTTCGGCTTCGGCTTCGGCTTCGGCTTCGGCTTAACAGAAATGTTATTAAATATTTGTTTTAATAACAAAATATTAATATTAAATCCAATCCGTTTTTCTGTTTTGGTAACAGAAAAGTAACTACCCTCTTCAATTTTCCCTCTTTATTTTCCCTCTTTATTATTGAGTAAATGGCCATTTATGTAATGACATTTATGTTGTGGGCGTTTTGCATAAACAGCCATTCTGAAGAGACCCAGCTTTGGCTATAAATACAACACTATTCTGCTCAGAATTTTAACTACAATTTTCTGAGTTTCCTCTCCTTCTTCTGCATACTTTTAGCATCAAAACAAAGCAAAAAGTAAGTGTGATTTGCTACCGAACTTTGTGTTCGCTGAAACACTGGGGTTTGAAGTACCACTACACCAGTGTGTAATTCGTTCTATCCTGGGAGGAAATAATCCATAACCTTGGGTACTAGGAGGGGATTAAATTCCTTAAGGAAACACTGTGAATTCAGTGGGCTCGAATTGGTTTATGTCATTTCTGTTTATATTCATTACTGTTTATATTCATTTATATTTCCAGAATTTATTTTACAAATACAGTGTAATAACATATTTTGTTCAAAACGTATGTAAATTAAGTGTGTATCACTTAGTATGAAATATTTTGTCAAAGCAGGCCCATGCTCTCTACGACATCTTAATTCTAATAGATTTTTCACCAAATTAAATGAAGGAATTAGAGGTACTGCAAAGGTAAAAATGAAGTAGAAAACTCACATCTGCCAGAACCTTCATCCTCTGTGTAGGATCAAAAATGCTTCTGACAAAAGCACCCAAATCCACCGTAGAATCAGTATACTTGGTAATAAATGGATGTGAAAGAAGCTGCAGTTAAAGAGGACCATGAGCCACCATGCAATCTTAAACCTGTCTACTCTGTACATCATACCTTCACCATTGTTAGAAAACTTTATGAGACATAAAAGTAACTGCAGCCACTCGTTTCATACAGGTCAAATAAAATCCGTATCCAGTTCCAACAATGATAAACCTCAATCCATACTTACATCATTAATTTATATTATATTCACAATTAGATAACACGCAGATTTAAATCATGTTGGGCTTGGGCTGGCACAGGCCGTCACCGCCTAGTTTCTATACATTAGAAGAGCATAAGTTTCGACATGCTTGCTTATGTGTATTTTAAGCTTTGTTTGAGGGCATATTAGACTTTTGAGCTTATCTGTATACGTGGCTTTTCTATATCTACCCAACTACTACGTGTAGCATTTACGTTATTTCAAAGGTGGGTTTTATTCGATTTTTGTACATCACAATTTACAGAGCTTCTCAGATATCTTCGGTCTTCCTCATCTCTTCAACTTGCAGGTGCTTTTCTTGTTCCTTAATATCAATTTTATAGTTTTCCATCTCTTTCTCCTTCTTTTTTCTTTCAAATTCGTGAAAACAGAGTGAATTAATTACAGATTTTCGAGTTAGGATTTTGATGGATGAAATTGGGAATTTTTTTCCGGAGATGAATTGAAATCAAGAAAATGAATTCAGTTTGTTAAACTATAGAAATCAGTTGATTTTTTGTATCTGCAAAGTACAAGAATGGGTACAATTCTCTGTGATGAACTTCTTCAAGAATTATTCCGTCCTCCGCCTCCGTTTCTTTCTTTGTTCTCCCAGTTTAGTGTCTCTGTTACAATCTCAGCCACCGTAGATTCCTCCAAGCATTTACTGTTCTCAATCTCTTCATCTTGTCCTAATCTCAAGTACCTCTGATTCTTGTGATTCTGAGTTAAATCTGGAAAGTCTTTTGTTGTCTGCAATTAAAGCAAGAGATAATAAGGGTGTTAGTACCATACTGCTCTTTAAATGATAAGATAAAAACCTATTGTATGGGTTCTTAAATCTCATTTTTGCGTACCTTCATTTTTTTTTCTTTTTTTCACGATTTTATATTCTAATTTTAACTTGATGTTTTTGAATCAACTATTTCTATTTCTCATTAAAATAAATATTTGAAAAATTATTTTTTGAAAAAATTGTTTTGCATCTAAAAAAGTTAGAAGAGTGAAGTGCTTATAGTAGAAGTAGAAAGAAAAAAAAAATTGTTTGAGGGACAGACAAAGATTAGGAAAATGGTGGATTTTCATATATACTCACTTTTGGAGACACCATTAAATTTGTACCCGCATTGCACAAATTTTTGTAAAGTGCACCCGCTCGGATCTAAAGTAGTTCAATCTCTTCAATGCAACTTGAAAAATCAAATCGAAAGTTCGTGTATCTTTGTCATGCAACTGCAAAAATTTGAATCTGAAGTAGTTCAATCTTTCCAATGCAATTAACTTGCCGATTGGTTCGATACTACAATCAAATTACATTTGCATTTTGCTCCTGACAGGAGGTGGCATACATGTCCTGGGGTTGCAGAGTTGCAGATATAGCTTTAGAGCTACGAGTTCAACTAAACCCAGTACATTTTACACCGAACATAAATTTATACGTGAAAAACAATAAAACTTCAATAAATATTAGATTCTGCTTTCTGCTAAGAGCTCTTATTTATCTCACTACTGAAAAATTGGTCTACGGTAACGGTTAAAAACCCGTCCCCATAGACTGTCAAACCGTTGCTGTAGGGATTTTGGAACGGTTTATAGACCGTCACATCAGCTGGCGTGCCAATAGGTCTACTGGAACGGTTCTTGTAACGGTTTACGTCACCGTTACAATAGATCTGTCTATCGCAACGGTTTTCCACTTCTCTGTTGGAACGATTATTTTTTTCAATTGGAACGGTTTCAAACCGTTACTATATTGTTTATACAACGGTTTTTAACCGTTGCCATATTATTTAAAGCAACACTTATGTAAGCTATTGCTACGGTTATGTTGGATATAGCCACGATTTCTTTAGCCTATCGTAACGGTTATATTTGTATTTGGAACGGTTTGTAGATCATTTTGGAACAGTTTATGGGACCTATTGCAATGGTTTATATTGTCTACTGGAACGCCATTTGTATCCTATTGCAACGATTCTGATAGGCTATTGTTTCAGTTCAGTTAACACCAAAATATAGCACATGTTATAAATAAATATTTATACATATAATAAATTATAATAACACTAAAATTTAAATATATCATAAAATGAAGCTATTGATAATACAAAATTATCCATCAAACAAATAATGTCCATAAAGCAAATGTTCTACCCCATGAGTGCATAAATTTAGTACAATTAAAGAGCGTAAATAAGTTCAAAAATGTTGGTAACAAAAGATTCCTAGAACATTCATCTGTAACAATTCAAAATTCATTTCAAGTAAGGTCTAGTTCTTCATCGTCTTCATCATCCATTTGGTATGCGGGACAGTTGGTAAGTAGTAAAAAAGATGATCTATTTTGCAGCAACATTCGACAAAAGAAATGTAAAAACCTGTCATACAACCAAGAGAATTGTTTTTGCAGTTAACTGCCAAAATAAATTTGGTAAGGAAACAAATGCTATACAATAAATTACTAAGTAACAAAGTATTTGCTAAAAGTTAGAAATGAAGAAGATGCAATTAAAAGTGAAAAGCAGATAATTTAGCTAAAACGGTAACGTACTTGGCCTGTAAAGATAAAGAGAAAAACTACAAAAGATAGAAAACTTAGAACGTACTTAAATTTAATTTTTAGTATCTTGCAAGATCAAACATATAAACATACAATTAAAGTATTAAATATTGTCCTGCAACCCCAACCCCATTATGATCTACCTGTAGGATTGAGGAGTAGTTTTTCAACCTATTCTTTCTTTCCAGGTCCCTTCTCCATTGTTGTTTAGTCAAATTAATCAACTAACCATGAAGACTAATAAAAGAGCATGAAGGTTTTGTATCTAAAGAAAGGAAAATCGATCTATTAGTAATCTATTCCAATTTTAAATTCTCAAAGTTCCTTCTTTTTTTCCTAGTTACATAAAAACAAGTATAAGAATCTTTCCATATAAAGTTAGCAAGGTCATAATTTAAAAAAGAAAAAAAGAAAGATAAAACATCAAACCTCACGAATTAGAGCAAAAGGTGTTCTGCCAGCAGTGTGCGGACACTTCAACTTATTTCGATTCTCTGTATTGGTTTCGGACATTTTCTACAAATAAACGAGTCAACCAATAGCAACCAGCAGTTATGCCCAAAGAACTGGGTAGTTTTCTTCAGGTTCTAAAAGAAACACCACCTCAAATCCCTTTAAGCAGATGCTACCTTTAGTCTATACTTAATCGACAACCTTTAAGGGGATTATATTTCTTAACGGGTGTACTAAAATCTATAGTCCATAAGCAGCATAATTGACTTATTGTTTTTATAAATGCGCTGGCCATTTCTGAAGAACTATTCCAGCTTTAGCACCCCAACAACCCTTTCAAATAGAAAATGTTAATTGCATCTTTGAAGCACCAATATTTAACTAGGAAAATGAAAACAGACTGTCCTATTCATGCAGTTTTCTGTTTCTTTTTAAAACTGAAACGGAGGGTGGTGGAATTTAAAGTCCAAGAAAATAAGAATAAATAAGTTTGAGTGATGTCAAGCTCCATTTAGGAACAAGTCTTCTGTGATATGAGATCATGTCATGGATCATCTTTTATTCTTGACTTTGATCTTGTATACAGCTAGTTGGATTTTATATTTCAAAATACTTTAGGGTTTACACAAATTGACTAGTAGTAGTACTAATTTACTATAGAAANAAGATAAAACATCAAACCTCGCGAATTAGAGCAAAAGGTGTTCTGCCAGCAGTGTGCGGACACTTCAACTTATTTCGATTCTCTATATTGGTTCCGGACATTTTCTGCAAATAAACGAGTCAACCAATAGCAACCAGTAGTTATGCCCAAAGAACTGGGTAGTTTTCTTCAGGTTCTAAAAGAAACACCACCTCATATCCCGTTAAGCAGATGCTACCTTTAGTCTATACTTAATCGACAACCTTTAAAGGGATTTATCCACAGCTATGCCCAAAATGCCTGCCAAGGCACCATCAGAAAGGTCACTGCCTTAGTCCCCTCAGGCCTTACTCAGAAGAAATGTTTATATCAAACTTGTGAAGACTATCACCCTCCATTTAGATTTGTTTACTACAGTATATCAGGTAAATCTTGGGTGTCTAGGCTTCTTGAATTAGATAATTTGTTAATAGGGAATACCAACAACCCAAGATGTCCATGCAGTGTTTTTCTTAGAGCAATAAAATTATCACACTACCAAAGGTGAAACACTAATCATAAAGAGACATTGATTTTAACACTTCCAATTCACTACTGATATTGATTCGTGTGAAAAAACAGTAGGTACGCACTAGAGGAAGCAAGACACCAGAACCTTTGGAAGAATTTATGTTGCAAAAATGTTTATGTTAATCTAGAGAATTACCCTGACCAGATGGATGTGATTGATCAGCAGATGCTGAGATGTGTGGTACAACCTTTTGTGCCTTAATTCTATAAATTCCCACGTAAATGATGCCTATGAGTAATGTTACTCCAGCTAGTGATGCCACTGCCATTCCAGCAATAAATTTACCTGATGAACCTGATCATACACTCGGTACAGAATAATCAATAAGCTGGGATAGCATGAATAATTCCATCACTGACTAGGTTTGGGTGAAAAAAGAGGGCAGTCACCTTTGATGCAAAGTTAGGGGAAACATGGATGACCAAATATGTTAATAAAATATGCAAGTATGATTCATGATATGATGTTCAATCTATAACCACCTCAAGTCTGAAAAAGATACCTGGTTAGCATAGGTGGATAGTTCCCAAGTTTATCTACATAAAACAAGGAACCATGGCCAGAATATTATCCACCATTTGAAAAAAGTATGACAACAAAGGTAAACATTTTACCAAACCCCAAATATCATGTATAAAACTTAAGCTATGTCAGATCAAAATCAACATTGCAAAGTTGTGACAATTGACCAGATTGCTTTCAACGGATTGTTTTACTTTAAGTCACTTAAAAGTGATCAATCAGTTCTCTATATATGGAAATTACAAAATCAAGAACCAGTCACATAGTACACAAAATGTAGACTGAGAATAGAGCCTCGGCACGAGGCCAGAAACCCAATTAACTAAAGTAAAATCACAATAGAGCTGAGAATATCCATTAAAATCAGCAGGAAACAAAATCAAGGCCAAAAAAAATAGGCACCCAAAGGACTCTATTATCAATTCGTCCCATAAAGCAATAGAAAGGAATTAAAACGCAGTAACCTAATTAACCACAGTAAAATGAGATCTTAATATAGCTTAGAATACACATAAGAGAACTGCTTTTTTCCGCAATTAAAAATCAGCAGCAAACAAAAGCAGAGGAAAATGAAAGCCCTAGCACCCAAAAGACTACATCGGACACATAAAACACGTATGAATTAAGAACCTTTTTGCCAAGACTACAACATGAATTAAACACAGAACCCAAAAGACTACATCATTAATTAAGAACCTTTTTGCCAAGAACTAAAAAATACAGTAAAAACATATAGCAATGGTAACAAAAACAGTAAAAATGACCAAAAGAAGAGAGAAAATTACCAGGCTATGGTGATTTTGGGCTTCTCTGATTCGAGCACAAATCTAATATTAGAATTTGGGGATTTGGGGAAGGCTAGGATCTGTTCTTGAAGAAGTGGGTATCTGAGTTCATTGGATTTGTAACCGGCGAAGCTTCGGAGAAGTGCCAGAAAGACCGATGGAAAATGGTGAACGACGACCACGTTTTGGGCCTTGGGAACACTAGGGTTTGTTGATTATAGTGGTCCAATGAAGAGGTATTTGCATAGATATAGAGAGAGTGAAAGTGAGAAAGTAAATCTGAAAGATTTGGAAGAAACTCGGCGGCCAAGAGAGGATTTAGGAGATGGATTCTTGAATTCTAAGGCAAAAGGAAAAGAGAGAGGGGAGTTCGGATGTATCGACATATACTGAAGGTGGGTTTATTGTATTTTACATTATAAATTAATTAAAATATATAAAATGACAGGCCAGTTGGCGGGCTTAGTAATTTTAGCGGAAAAAATGAGGGGGAATGAATAACCGTGCCCGTAGAAAAATGTTTCCCAAAACCGTTGCCATATATACGTCTATTGGGACGGTTTACACATCCGTTGCAAAACAAATATCTATGGGAACGGTTTCGTTACAATTGCAACGGTTTGATAGCTAAAGTGTGCTGATACCACCCGAATTCTATTGTAACGGTTGCAACCGTTACTATATCTGCTCTATGGAAACGGTTCACAAACCGTTGCCAAAATAACTGTTCCCATAGGCCCATTTTCTGGTAGTGTCGGACATTGGTAGGCATGTATTTTGAATAGGTCTTTTAGCTTGCAATATAGAAGAAGTGATTTTCCAAACCTACGATTATGTATATAAAAAGGGTGACATTGTCGATGATTTGCTTTCTTTATTGATTTGTTTCTTTTCTTCCAATTTGCTTGCATGTACAGTAAGTAACTCATATTCTACAACCTGCATTTAGAGTCAGTACACAAGTTATCAACAAAAGATATAAAATCTGATCATGATCAATCACAAGAACCCCTTCATACAAGAGACGACATCTACTAATTCTGCAATAGGCATCAGAATTTAAAAAATACGACGATGCAGCCAGCAAACCCGGCCCCCAATAGCTTATGTTTGCTTCTGTATCTTAAATAACGCTGAATCCTCGCTTCCTCATTCTTTAAGCATTCCTCGACCTGAATTTCATCAAGAGAGTGTAAACCAACATTTGACATATATGGTACTATGTAGTTTATGCTATATACAATATGTGAAGAGGGTAATGAATCAGCGAATCATCGTCTACTGCTGGAATGCAGTTCTTACTTGCATATTCTGAATACTTGACTAGAGAGAAAACAATACATGTTTTATTGATAAGTGATAACATTGCAAATGTAAAATCTAAATGCTGTACGGATCTTTATTTGTGGTGTGGGAAGAACATAAATGGTTGATAAAGATTGTCAGGCAAAACCAAATATAGAATAATAAAATATGAGCAACATACTAAAAAAAATTCATCTTGAAATAATGGCTGGAATTTCACCTTTTAACTGGAAGCTTTCCCAAATGAAAACTAAGGGGTAAACCGTTGGGAGTAAACAGTTGCTATTCGGCTTATAAACAAAGACAAGTTGAAGCTCCTACATATTTTGTTTACTAGTCTTAGAGTATGCGTGTAACCCAGCTTGATGAATAATTTTTTAAAAAAAAAATACATAAATAGTATATTAGACTTATATTTGCATTATAAAATAAAAATTTAAACTCCTAAAATTGATAAATATTGATCTAATATAAATATCCCAATAAATAAGAGAATCTGTCTCATAGAATTCCTTAATATATTTACCTTTCTGTATATTCAGCTTAAATTCATTTTCAGCTCAATGACTTCATCACCTCAAATTCACAAATTATCATATNTAGTTGGTGTAGTTTTGGGCTTCTCTGATTCGAGCACAAATCTAATATTAGGAATTTGGGGATTTGGGGAAGGCTAGGATCTGTTCTTGAAGAAGTGGGTATCTGAGTTCATTGGATTTGTAATCGGCGAAGCTTCGGAGAAGTGCCGGAAAGACCGATGGAAAATGGTGAACGACGACCACGTTTTGCGCCTTGGGAACACTAGGGTTTGTTGATTATAGTGGTCCAATGAAGAGGTATTTGCATAGATATAGAGAGAGTGAAAGTGAGAAAGTAAATCTGAAAGATTTGGAAGAAACTCGGCGGCCAAGAGAGGATTTAGGAGATGGATTCTTGAATTCTAAGGCAAAAGGAAAAGAGAGAGGGGAGTTCGGATGTATCGACATATACTGAAGGTGGGTTTATTGTATTTTTACATTATTAAATTAATTAAAATATATAAAATGACAGGCCAGTTGGCGGGCTTAGTAAATTTTAGCGAAAAAAATGAGGGGGAATGAATAACCGTGCCCGTAGAAAAATGTTTCCCAAAACCGTTGCCATATATACGTCTATTGGGACGGTTTACACATCCGTTGCAAAACAAATATCTATGGGAAAGGTTTCGTTACAATTGCAACGGTTTGATAGCTAAAGTGTGCTGATACCACCCGAATTCTATTGTAACGGTTGCAACCGTTACTATATCTGCTCTATGGCAACGGTTCACAAACCGTTGCCAAAATAACTGTTTCCATAGGCCCATTTTCTGGTAGTGATACATTGTAGATTTGTCCACACTTTCAGAAAATAAACTCACTTGCTTAAGTGTGTTGGACAATGATCCCCTCCTTTGGCACAAAAGACTTGGACATGCAAGTTTGAGTCAACTCGACAAATTAGTCTCCAATGATCTGATGATAGGGCTACCTAACATCAAGTTCAAGGAAGACAAAGTTTGTGAGTCTTGTGCAAGGGGGAAGCTGGTAAGATCCTCTTTTAAATGCAAGAAAGTGGTAA